ATGGTCACCCAAATGGCCGTGTTCAGCTCCGTCCAGTACTGGATCAGCACGACGGCGGCCGAGATCTCGCTGGGCACCGACATGAAGCAGCCATAGACCACATTCCACCCGATCGCAAACCCCAGACCGGGGTCCACCAAGAGTTCAACATGTCGCACAAATGATCCGGTCACAGGCATCAAGGCCGAAACCTCCCCGAGTGCGATCTGGATCGCACAGACAATTACACCAACCAGCATGTACCCGAGCAGCGCACCCAGTGGTCCTCCAGAGGCAATTGAGCTGCCCAGTCCAAGAAAGAGCCCAGTTCCCTATCGATTCGAAGTTAGAAGGGCTATTTCTCTTTTTCTCCCGCAGGAGCTCTGCGAGGAAGATAGCGTAGCACTTACAATGGCACCCGCAATGGCAATCATCTGCGTATGCCGTTGTTCCAACCCACGGCGGAGATTTTGCGCCTCTTCATCCTGTACGATGCGCTCTCCGTCGCCCACCTTGCTCGTTTCCTCCGTTGGTGGTTGAAAGGAGATGTCTGGGCCTTTCGCCGGGTAGATCTCAGTCGCACGCATTTTGCGCTTATGGGTTGAGGGCAAGAAGGGAAGTGAAAAGGAGTGCAATGGAGCTGCAGCTGAAAGAGGGGGGACATTGCGCGGCCAGGCGAGCCAGGGCCGACTGAATATCTCTGGGATGTGGCCGGAATTAATTAATCCTAGGCCTATGATTGGACCTCCGGCCCGATTGTCTTAGTTGGTGCGAATGGCGACATCCGGGGGTGATTTTCACGATGAGCAGGCCAGCTGAGGATAAGATAAGAAAAAAAGTAAGGGATCCAGAGATCACGTGCACGCATCAACATCTGGACTCACAACTCCAGTCGGTCTATTTACATCAGTTCGTCAAGAAGCATTCTTAGCAAATCATATTGTTGTCATCAGGCACCAAAGACATGAATCAAAGGCATAAAAGTATATGACCAGGATAAGCAACATGGTAAGCACTGGTAGCCTAGTACTCATTCACCAGATGACTATAGCGGAGCCTGGTGGGTGAATACCTCACTTCTCCTGCACAGAGCAGTGCCCAGGTAGTAACACGATTTGTCTCCTTCTGCATCTTTTTCTTCCTTTCTTCTCCTCTTCTTCTTCTTCTCTTCGTCTTCTTCTCCATCCTTTCTCCCTTCTCCTCTTTCCTCCACGCCACTACTGATCCACCACTCACCCTTCTGATTGTCATCTCAAGACCTCCAGCCATGGCAATCATCGCCAACTACATCATCGATGCGACCGGCGAAGTCACGCTCGTCCTCCACGCTAAGCTGACTTCTTTTCCTGCTCCCGACAATGCCTCTCCCGACCTGCCTTCATCGACCGCGAATCCCGACCAGTCCCTCAAGGACATCGAAGCGCGTATCCAAGTCTCTGCCAAACACCTCCAGCTCGCCTCGCCAGTGTTCGACCGCCAGCTGACCGGCAGCTTCACTGAGGCCCATGATCTACAGCGCACTGGCAAGGTGGACATTACGGTGGAAGGCTGGGATTTGGAGGCGTTGCTGATCCTGTTGCGCATCATTCACGGGCGCAACAACCGAGTGCCCCACCTCGTTTCCCTATCGCTGTGTGCTCGCATCGCCGTGCTAGTTGACTACTATGCCTGCCAGGAGGCTGTCCAGGTGCACCTACGCCTTTGGAAGTCGCATCTCGAGACCCAAATTCCTACCGGCTACAATGCGACCGAGACCCTCGAATGGATCTGGGTGTCGTACTTCTTTGAAATGACCCGGGTGTTTGACCAGGTCACCCTCTTGGCAATCCGACATGGAGATCAATATATGGAGTCGAGTGAATTCCCGGTGAAAGCGAGTATCGTGGGTAAGTGGGCTATTTATCACATGCCGGCTTGAAGCAATGACACCAATACTGACATGCGACGTTGACCACAACAGACGCAATCAACGCCCACCGGGAGAAGTCCATTGACGGCGTGCTCAACCTCATTGCCCGATGGAGGGACGGGCTGCGTCAAGGCTTGTTCGGCTGCACTTTCGAATGTCGCTGCGTCGATCTGGGGGCCCTCGAACAAAGTCTCTTCGCGGCCAACCTGCATGATCCTCCCACCACTCCGTTCGCCGGTTGGAGCTTCGAGTCCCTCATCACTCACGTCAAGGCCTTTCTCACGCCGTCATCGCGCTGCAATCTCCTGAGCTATCTCGACCATGACAAATGCGATGCGATCCCGAAGATTGTCCAGGAGGTGGAGACACTCAGCTCGGAAATGCAGGGTTTGGATCTGACTAGCTACAAGTGAGAGCATAGGGACTCCGTGCGTCGGCGAGCTCATATTCTACAAGGATTCTGCCTGTCTTGACCGGTTGTTCTGCAAAGCGACCGTCTGCGAAATAGACAGGGAACAATTCTTTTTTTACCGCGGGGCTTGATGGATAGGATCTTATATGTCGTGCTATCTATGCTTCTGGAGCCTTAAAGTGCAAGATTATGCGATAATCGTCACCATAAAAGATATGAAGCTGGGAGTAGTTAACTAGATGCTATGAATAAAAGGAGCTGCACCGCCGATCAAGCCGTGGACTGGCACGTGATAACGAGCCCTTGCCCTGAGCCCTAAGCCCTGGCCCGGATTAGAGAAAGACAGTCAGTCACGTGCGTCGGTACTGGGCGGCTGGGGGGATGCCGAGACGCCGCTGGGCAATGCGACCCAAGAGTTCGACAGTGCTTGCCACTCACCAGCTGTCACACTTCAATGTAAGAGAAAGACCACCACTGTTAGGACATTCTACTGGGCTGTTGAGTCCCGTACACTCACCTGCGCCCCCTACCTGCTATGTAAATGACAGTCTTGGAGAAGGCTGCCGTTCGCCCGGAGTCGGAGTCAGGGAGTCAGGGGCAAACTCGAGAGACTCTGTTCGATGTATGCTCCAACCTTAGTACGGATGGGATTCGCTGCAATCCCAATTAGACTTCCGGATCTGCCTTTCTGCACGTATATCATTCCCAATCGACCAACCTGTCTAGGCGAAAGGAGATGTCGATCCACCCTACAAACCCCTCGCGCGGGGAGATAGTCCCTTTTCCCCAGATAGGTACCGCTCGAACGACAAGTTAAGTTGTTGATCAGGGCCCACAACTGATGGACGGGTCCAATTGAGGCTCCGTCCGCCCGAAGCATCTGGATGGATGAGTGCTCATAATTGAGAACACAGTGCAAGCTAGCGTTTCCCCGCACGACGACCACGAGGTGAAAGGAGGTTCCCAGTCTGAGAGATCTGGATCCCTTAGCGAGAATGAAACGAACTCAAACCTCGGTGTTCGCTTCCAAGTATAAGAGTAGCAAGTCCTTACCTTGGGGGCATTTCTTGCGATCTCCAAAGCCTTTCATCGCATAAGTCGAACATCATGCCTGATACTCCAACTAGCGACATTGAGGTGCCCCAAAGAGTCGATACTCACACCACTGCCTCCCACGAATTCGACAAGCAATTGGCTGAGTACGGGCCGTTAGCTCATGTGCCCACCGCGGGCACATACCTCCCTGCATTCGCAGGCGAGCTACAGCCTGGGCTGTACAAGCCAGTCAAAGCGCGCAAGATCGCGAATCCCGCCCCGCTAGGACTGGCTGGCTTTGCCCTGACCACCTTCGTCCTGGGATGTATCAACATGCAGACACGGGGGATCACTCAACCCAACATGGTAGTCCCGCTGGCTTTTGCTTACGGCGGCCTGGTGCAACTTCTCGCGGGAATGTGGTAGCTCGACGTCCATTCATCTGCTCTGCGTGCTGAACTCCAAGCTAACTATCAGGTACCAGGGAGATGGCCGCCGGCAATACCTTTGGCGCTACAGCCCTCTCCTCATACGGAGGGTTTTGGATCTCTTTGGCCATGATCTTCACCCCGGGGGGATTCGACATCGAAGGCCAGCTCAAGGCCGCGGACAATGGGTCTGTGGGCATGTTCTATGACTCGTTCGGGCTGTATCTAATGGTTTGTGTCTCCGTTCTCTTTGAGCGCCTGGCTTGCTGACTTGACTGACACTAGGGCTGGTTTATTTTCACCTTCCTACTCGTGACCTGCACGGTCAAGTCAACGGTCATATTTTTCTCCCTGTTTGCCTCCGTCGACCTTGCCGTGCTCCTCCTGGCAGTCGGCTACCTTCATCGCCCCAACGGCGCACCCTACACGCCTCTGCTCAAGGCGGGGGGATTATTTGCCCTACTCGGGGCGTTCTTGGCGTGGTATGTCTGTCTGGCGGGAATTGCCGACACGAGCAACAGCTTTTTCATCATCCCCGTCTGGCATTTTCCCTGGTCGGAGAGGGGGCGGGAGTCGAGGAGAAGGAAGTCTGAAGCCGTTTGAGGTAAAATTTCTCTCGTCATATTTTTTTTTTGTTTTCTTTCTGTTTTTTTCCATCACTGGGGCAAGGGATAAAGCTTGGGCTACTAGATGGATAGGCGAAATCGTTTGCCGCTACGTACCGCCTACCGCTTTCTCGGAAAGAAGGAAATCGCGGCTATCGAAGATCACGTACGGAATACTCGAGCAGCAGAAAACAGAGCCAAATCAGAAGGGAGACTCCCATCTAAACTTTGTAGTCGAATAGTTGAGGATAATATCGAGTGAGAAAGTCCCCGGCGTCTCCGAGACATCTGCCACACGGATCTGTCTTCTCCGCGGAATACGACCCCGCGCAGATACGCGTAGCTTGATTAAGCTAAGTAACTGCAGCAGCTCAGCGCCATGCAGCTCGCTACCTTCACCCAGCAGTTCAAGCCGACCCTGGTGGTAACTATAATTGGTCACTTAGTACATGACATCTCCGCATGCTGCATGAGCGAAGAGTGCTAAAAGTACCAAAGCAATGCAACGCAAACACTCACTGTCGAAATATTTAAAGGTGCGGTGCGGAGGGGGCGGGGGGATGTCACTCCAACATAAGATTCATACATAAGATCCCAGAGAACTGCCTTGCACCATGGGGTCCATCCACACAATGAAAGCGGTTGTTTACCATGGTCCTCACCGTCTTGCCATTGAAGAACGTCCAAAACCTTCGATTGAAGAGCCCACAGATGCCATTGTGAAGGTGACCTATACCACCATTTGCGGCACAGATCTCCACCTCCTCCAAAATGACATCCCATGCAAACCAGGCTGTATCCTAGGCCACGAGGGCGTCGGGGTTGTCGACTCGGTCGGTCCAAGCGTGACCAACCTCCAAGTCGGTCAAACTGTCCTGATCTCCTGTATCACCTCTTGCGGCCACTGTCGGTTTTGTCGGAGGGGGATGTCCTCCCAATGCACGTCTGGGGGGTGGATTTTGGGCAACCAGATCGATGGTACGCAGACAGAATACGTCCGGATTCCGCATGCCGCTTTCTCTCTCCACCAGCTTCCCCAGGGAATCGATCCCAAGGCATACGTGATGTTGTCGGATGTGTTTCCTACTGCATTTGAATGCGGTATAATTAACGGCGACATCACACCGGGCGCACGAGTCGCCATTCTCGGCGCAGGACCCATTGCGCTGACGGCACTGATGATCCTAAAACGAGGCTATGGGCTGCCTCGACAGGTTGTCATCATTAGTAGGGGCGAGTATCGACTGGAGCGGGCGAGAGAACTGGGCGCCGATCATGCCCTCACCACCCTGGACGGTCGAGAAAAGGCCCTCGAGGCCTGTCGGAGGTTGACGGATGGAGAGCTGTTCGACGTAGTGATCGAAGCCGCTGGAGCCAAGGAAACATTCGATCTCTCGCAGTATCTGGTCGCACCGGGTGGCACTATTGCGTCGCTTGGAGTGCATGGCAGCAGTTGTGCCTTCCATCTGGAGCACTTGTGGCATCGCAATATTTGTCCGTTCCTCCAAGTACTCTGCTTGAGGAAGGGTGAGCTAACAATGGATGTAGGCTTACGGACCAGCCTTGTGGACACAAGGACCACGCCCGAGTTACTGAAGATGGTCCAGGCTGGAATACTAACTCCGGACGCATTCCTCTCCCACAGTGAGCTTCCTGCCCGTCTGAGATGTTTCTGCGTTTGCTTAAAGCTAACAACTGCAGCATTTGCACTCGACGAAATTGAGCAAGCATATGAGGTATTTCGGGCGGCTTCGACACACCGCAGTATGAAGGTTCTACTGACATTGGGCCACGCTTGATCAATAACCATTGCCCGTTTCAGCTGCACAATTTGATGGATTGGATTACTTGCCTTGGATGTCCAGGCATCGAGCAACCGCTGATTTACCACTCTCTTTCAGCGATTCTTCATGTTAAATCATCCATTGGTGATCGCTGTTCTGGATTTGGAATGCCTTAAAAACCCATCATGCGTGCCTCTCATAAGATACCAATCACCCACCCAGCCAGATCATTTACATATAGTCGTCCGCATCTTGTTCCATATAAGACCTCCCTCTCTACTCTTCCTTCTTGTCACCGTTTCCGTTGACGCTCGCCATTACGCTCTCGTCGCCTTCCCTCCAAAGAACCCTCAAGACCCATTCTTTAACCCTCCACACATCACTATCTTCCCCTTCGCGGACAGCTTCGACAAAATAGAAACCTCCCGCCAACAATCCCTTGGAAGAAGCATCCAGGCCCTCTGCCTGTCGGTAGTGCTGTGCCAGAACGGTAGCAACCAAGCTAGCCGTACCTTTCACCTCATCGAATGCGGTGACGCGGAGGTTGGACAGGTGGTGGGTCGTGTCTATCCTGGACACTATATCGTACACATGTGTCTTAATGGCGTCAGCGCCCTCGAGAAGACGACCGTTCAAGCTGAAGCGGGCGGCTTCGTGGATGGCAGAGGCGAAAAGGGCAGGATTGGCGGTGTCAATCGCGAGAAGGGCGCGGTATACGGGATCGATGATGGCGTCTTTGGTTTGCGGAGGAATACTGGGGAGGAATGTGGGGATGTCGGGGATGTCGGACGTCATCTTCGGTCTGTTGTAGAAGAATCGGAGTGTTAATGTGGTACCTTGGAGTGATTCCTCGTGGCTTTTGGCGGTGTAGGTTGCAGTAAGCGGAGGAAATACTGCGGGTGTTGTGGATGGAGAATGGTAGATGGCTTAGAAGGAAGGTCTAGCGTGTGGGTAATCAGCACATTAAGTATTGCGTATATAAGATGTTGTGATGTTAGAGTCTTAACGACCTGTTGTATAGTCTAATGTGCTTAAGCCTAAGTCCGCGTTAACTCCGCCTCATCAGCTCACTCGGGGTTAACATATCCTCAACACGAAGGCGATTCGATGGAGATAGCAGTGGACATACTGTATTGCCGGAATCTTGACTGAGAGGAACGGGAGACATGAGATGTTATTCGGTAAGACGATGACCCTTCAGCTTAGCAGGTTGGTGATGATATGACGTCGGGACAAATAGTGGTCGGATGGCTTAAGATGGGTATTGATCGAAATTATAATTGGCTTGTCTGTGTCGTGCAAGTGGCATCAATGTGACTTAGAGAGGCAGAAAGATACCACCTAAACGATAATCCGAGGCATTTCCGGCCGAGGGCTTCAAATCGCCGGGGCTTACTTTCAAAGTACCAGCCGCAAGGCTACAGGGTAAGACTCGATATACAGCCCCAGACAAAACCAACTGGGGCTGTAGCTACTGGAAATGCAATTGCAGAGGAAAGATAATTATAGGGAGTTGGGTGGCGAGGATTAGAGTTATGACTGGCCTTCGCTGCCGAAGCTGCCGGGCGATGGGGAACTAAGGAGTTAGAATGCTTCTACTCTTGGAAATCTGGTCTTAATGTGTAGTCAAGTAATGCTGTTGCGGCAGTTGAAGGTATAGTCATGTAAATCGAAATTCTTGTCGGTCTATACTCCTTCAGTCGCATATTACTGTGACATGTACAATTGCAGAAAAGAGTACGAAAACTGCACAGCCTCCGCCTGATGGATGACGTTCGAACTGTGTTGCAAAAATGCCACTCAGAGAATGTTTTGTGAAGCCGGATGTACCATGCCCCCGTTCCATCTCAAATTAAAGCACTTGAAATTCAACACTGGTAGGCTCACCATCGTTACAAGCGCTCACATCCATGGGACAAGCACTCATGGCGACGAGACAGTCCTGCTCCGCCATGAGAGTGATGAGGTCTCCCGCCTTGCTTTCCGGGTTCAAACACGTCAGCTTATTCTTGTCGACAGCCACATTCATGAATAGGTTGAGAGGATCAGGCATCCAGCCATGCTGCAGGAACTCCAGTAGATACAGAAACGAGGGATCTTCGATCTTCTTCACAGCTTCGAACAAGTTACTCGCGCAATTATCATGTCCTGCCGAGGCGCCAAGTTGCAAATAGCGCTCCGGAGAGCAGGCAGCGAAAAGAACATCGTGGATTCCGGGGGACGTATCCTCCACAATTGTCAGAGTTGGATCTCGTCGGTTGTCGAGGAAAGACTCCTGCAGCGAAGGCAGAAGTTTATGCAGGGTTGAACGAGTATGCGTCATGGACATGTAGCGCGGGAAAGAAGTGGTGGATGGAAGGGAAAAAGCCCAGAAGTCCACAACCTGGCCACCGGATGATTGACTAACCTTGATGGATTGGCCGGCACGTAGCCGCTGGGTGGCAAAGCTCCGAGCATGGACGGTTGGCATGGTTATCTCCGTTTTGACTTGAATTGATGGATCAAAGAGGTAGATTGTTAGGTGTTTGGAAAAGAGGAAAACTCAGTGGAAGGGCATAAGTACCATATATATAGGTAGATACTGGGCGAATCTCGGCGACTATGAAAGCATACTTGGCCTACTGTGCAGGAGAGTGACCTGAAATATCTGCTTAGGCAATATATGTCCTTGAAAGAATCGGTACAGTCCCCTGGTCTCGTCTCCGCAGTAGGTAGTAGCTTGTACTTGGAGGGACCAGGTACCAAGTATCCAGCATCCAAATTCTTGGCGGAAATAGTCTCTAGATTAGGTTAGCGTCTTTGATACTGGTTCTTGGCGGAAATCGGATCTATTTTGGGTTAGTGTTGAGGTAGCCTACGTATCTAACCCATAATCCACAATCCATGATGAATGGGATCTAGGCCAAATAAAAAAATGCTCCGGCCCTCCGAGGTCCGAGGTCAGCCCCCGAGCTAGGTTAGATTATCATGTTAGACATTATCCAAAACGGATTTTCATCCGTCATTTATCCAAGCTCTGCGAACTGTCTTCAACTCTGTGAAGGTGTACCACTCAGTTTCCGGATGCGAAAAATGTGATGAGGAGAATGAAACCTCGAAGCACATCGGTTTGTCAAAATTGCCGGGATCGTAAGATCGGGGTAGGCCACCAGTTTCCAACCCAGTTTCCATTGTGGTTTAATATCTTCCCGATTGACTGGAGCAATAGTGTGACGGGAAAGTCCCAGCTTGCACGCAGTGCCGCCAGTTCCGGCAAGCATGCCCGGGTTATCCGCGAAAGATCATATTCGTGCACCAAGCCCCGGGCGATCCTAGCCGCAACAGTAACAACCTCTCGCCGCCAAAGCGTCCACAGAATCAAAGCCTGGCACGAGGGCGGACTAACAATGAGACGGGGAATCTAATACTGAATCTCACGAGTTTCAGATTGTCAACAGCAGAGGAGCTACTGGCAGTAGCCATTGACCATTTCATTCCTGGGTCCAAGTTGCCGGTACGTATCTCGGAGCTATATTCGTCACAATCACTGGTCTGCGCTTCCTGGTTAGGCGTGCTCCCCAATTTGATCGACGAAGAACAATCCGGATCTCTTATTATACAGGCTACTAGAACTCTGGGGCTTTCAATTATCTGCAGATGCCAGAGAGGGGAGACCAAACGTCTCCACAATCACCAGCGTCTCCAATCCTACTGCTCTGCTATCTACCAACTCCGAAGCCAACTGCTCCTGCACAAGGAGGACGTTCACAAGCAGACTGTCGCAGCTGTCATGTCGTTGACGCTTGCAGAGGTAAGTTGATATTCAATGCGAAATTGGCTGGTTTTTATACAGGAGCTAACCACGCTTTTTTCTTTCCTTTTCTAAGTTGATGATGCCAACCTCCCAGAAAGGCTGGAGCTTTCACGTAAGGGCAGTGGCTCAATTAGTACAAAGGCTTGGCCCGGAACAGTTCATTGTTTCGACTGCTCACCGGCTGTTTGTAGGCTTCCGCCCCTTGATTGTATGTAGGATCTGAGTAGTCCCAGAATGTGGTACAGCAGGATAACACGAGTACAGCTGATCGAAGCTATTCTCTCACGCAGCCCTACCTTTTTGACGTTACAGCAATGGCAAAGTGTCCCATTTCAGAAGTACTCCCCTTCTCCAATGCAACGGCTTCTAGGCTATGCTGCCGTTCTTCCCTCACTGCTGCATCGAGCCGATGGTGCCAAACTCATTCCTGCACAGCAAGGCTTTGCTGAAAAACGGGCCATCACACTGGCACTCAGTCAATTACTCGACGTGCTTCGACAATGGGTCCTGTCGTATCAAAACTTATTTCCAGGACCTTTGTACTGGACTCAGCCAAAGGACCTAAAGCCGGACTACATCTCCGTATTACCATTCTGCTTCCCCAACGCCCTTGCAGCTACGGCTCTCATTCATTGTTGGACATTTCAGATTATATGTCTCACACAGCTTTATGAACTAGGGATACTAGGCAGAAGTCATCAACCCTGCGGAGACTTCAATGACGATTTCGCCCTTCGGATACTCGAGGAGTGCGTGGATTTGTCTGTCAAGGTATGCCAAAGCATGAGCTATTTTCTAGAGGACAACATGAAGATATACGGCCCTGCTGCAGCTATGTTTTCGTTTCGGGTTGCGCACAGAACCTTGCTTTTGTTTGCACAGCCGCAATCTGACCATATTGAAACGTGCAAAGCCATAATCTCTTGCTTCTTACAAAAAGGGTTTGATGTCAAAGAACCTGCTTGAGATGTATCTTTCGCTCTAGAGCAGCCGCAAGCCCACTTTCAGGGAGATCAATGAAAGCTGGATCTCAACACCCCATCAGCAAAGAACCGTGATGGGCGCCGTGACTGGATGTCAAGTGGCCTGTATGCAGAGGGCAGCTCCCTTGATCAAATATGTTTCTGTATTGCGCCCCACTCCAATACCCCATATCAGACCTTTAGATTGAATCAGTAAGGCCAGCACTTGACATATGTCTGCTGAAGCAACCAGGACTGGCCGCTTGTCAACCCGGCTTAAGAGAAAAGAGCAATTAGACAAGTCTGACCCTGCAAGGAGAGTCATGTTCAGGACTATCCAGCTCCACCTCTCTCTATCAACTGGAACAATTTGCCCTTGCTTGAACGTATGCATATATCGAGCATCTATTACGCTCTCCAGCTAGCGGTCGCTACCACAAAGAACGGACCTGGAATATCCCTTCTCATATGTCCAGGGGTCGTTCGAACAGTGCAATATAACCGCATGATATATATTCTTTACACAGTGACGCTTTTTAGATTGCTAGTAGATCCAGTGATGAAATCTTTGTCCGAGCCAAATACCTTGTTGGTCTGCAGCGGTCATTGGTTACATGATGCTGGCTTTGAGATTTTGCCAATCTTGATATGGATGAGGGCAAGTCTTCATTGAGTTTTCAACATTGCCATTTAACATCTCAATATATAGATACCGAGGGACCTCTAACAACCATGCGTCTTGATTGCCGCTTTGAGCAACTGTGGTTCGTAGTGAATTGTGGGAGGATGGTCTCTGCTTGTCTTCTACAGTTGCCGGATGAGCTACACCTCCACTTTGCCGGCTTTCTCGATGGTCAGTTCTTTAGCAGGCTCAGCTGCACCTGTAAAGTTCTACTGGTAAGTTCATCAAAGAAACTGCCAAGGCCAAAAGAGTTACAGGCCGTGCACTCTCTCTTGTCAACATATAGCATGAGCGATGGAAACTAAATATTGACCTGGGATGGGATGAATGGCCTCGACTAGTACACATCATATGCCAAAACAATATCACGAGAGTCAAAGATTTCTTGAAAGCCCGGGGTAGTCCAAACCTCAAGTCCGAGGACCACTGCCCCAGACTGCACGTAATAGTAGTTATGCGGGGTGACGGATCATAGATATTCCGCGTTGGAGTGGCATGCTGACACTAGGAAGCAGGTTACATGACTTGAACGCCGTCATCTGTTCGGCCTGGAAACTGGCCAACAAATTTCTCCCTATTCACTGAACAAGACACCGCATATGCACCCGGTGACTTATTATCGTCACTACGCGGTATCACCAATGCGTCGCTTCGAACGGATCTATGATGTGGTGGAGCCCGTTGAAGAGTATCGCCCGGGGGGATATCATCTAGTGCACCTTGGTGACGTGTTTCATCAGAGATACGAGATCACTGGAAAACTAGCTTTTGGCCAATATTCCACAGGATGGCTTGCAAAGGACCGGCAATTGTGAGTTATCCTCCGCGGAGTGCGACATTGGGTCAAAAATAACAGGCTGGGATGTAACGCCTTGCAGGGACTCGCGACAGGCGTGTTGAAAATTTCAAAGTCAGAAGCGTCCCAAAGCAACAGCGAGCTCTCTTTCCTTCTTACCCTGTCATGCTCTGACACAGCCCACCCTGGAAGAAGACATGTTGTTGAGATACTCGATCATTTTTCTCACACGGGTCCGAATGGAACTCACTTGTGTCTTGTTTTCCCAGCGATGATATCCGATGGGGAGGCAATGACAATCAGTGGGAAACCCCGAGAAGCAGAATATACTCGGGCTGTTTCTCGTCAGATTCTGCTGGGCCTTGACTTCCTTCATCAGTCAGGTATCGTTCATTGTGGTATGTCGGAGCTCTCACATGGTGCAAGCAGCTGTCTAATCATTATGTGCAGGTCTGCAACCAGCAAACATCCTGTTTTCGGTAGCAGGACTCACGAACATGGACTAGCTGTTACAGCCTCCCGAGTTCAGCCCCGTCAAATGGTTACCAGGTGTGGTTGAAGACCACAGCGCCCCCAGATATCTAATGCCTGCGCAAAGGCGCCGAGGCCAGTTGGATAATGCAGATTTCTCGACAATTCAGGTTAGGATCGGTGATCTGGGCGGAGGTAAGATATACTCATTCGTCTATTTTGTGTGATCAGCATTACTAAGACTTCGAGTACAATATTAGCTCAATATATCCGCCAATGTGACCAGCAACCAGTAACACCTCTGGCCTTGCGTGCACCTGAGCTGATAAGACAATATACCAATGGCGCTACTATAGATAGAGCCATAGACATCTGGACTCTAGGTTGTTTGGTATGCTAAAGCCTTTTTGTCGAAGCCTATCCTCACTTTCTAACCCTGATTTAAAGCTATTTGAACTTGCAACAAATGAGCCCCTGTTCCCTCTGGATACGTTTGGTCTTACGCGTGAGGAGATAGACAATGACCATTGTTCTCTCATCAATCAAAGACTGAGTTCAAACAGCCAGGATGATGAGAACTTCATGAGATACCTGAGTGACAGGCTACCGAATAGCTTTGGTGCTAAGAATGTGAAGACTCTGGCATCATACCTTTCCCATATGTTACAAGTAAGCCCTCGCGACCGACTGTCGGCAAGCAACTTACTTCAGACACCGTTCCTATCATCTGCATCCCAGCATTAGTATGTTTGTCACTTGCGCAAGGAAGATTTAATTCAATTTTAGAAGAACCCACGCTGGCTTTTCTCTTATTCGCTTTTCTCTTATTCGAGTGCTTTTGATAACCGGCCTCCCTAAAGGAGAGTCTGGCTAAAATTGATGAACGCATGAAAGGTCAACTCTTCTTAGAATACGCTGGGGACATCTGGTATTATTGATCACGATGGAATTTGGAGACTGTGGAGTCGCGCGGAGACGAGCCCGCTCCTGGAATGCCGATCCATTTACCTTATTTATCTATGTCTACAAAGAGTTGATGGGAGAAGAAGTCACAATGCAATCGTACGCTCTTTTGTATTTCGGCGGATCTCTTGGACCCGCCTTAATATGTAAATATACAGTGAATGCTTTATGCTGTTACAAGTATCACAAGAATACAGGTACATCGTCTCGGTGGGGAATGCAGAAACTTTGGACAGTAAGTAAAATAAAGCGAAGCGTTCTTTCTTATCTCCCATTTAACAACAAGCGCATACTGGGCCGAAGGCTTTGAATTGTGTATTTACCACAACCGATGGCTACAAATATCTTCAGGGGATTAGCTTTGTTGCTCACAAGCCGAGAGGACTTGAACTATGGAAGTAGAGTATATATGAGTAGATTTAAGTAAAGTCACATGGTCAGTTTACATCCAATACACTATATAATTATCATCAACGCAAAAAAAGAAAAAAAGAAAGAAAGCAATGGTAATTTGTAATGTCTTTGAGACTGTATCCACATAGATCGACTTTCATTTTACTTATTCCCAAAGCATCTACTTGCCATTGACTATACTAAGTCAAATACTATATTAGAATATTGGATCTCTTCGTATCTGGAGATAGAGGAGATAGGAAGTTTCTATTTGGAACCGTATATCATTGATGCTAATCACCTAGAGGTAGATTTATCTGGATCACATATATCAGCAGATCGTCGAGATTGACACTCCCATTGCAAAGGCCGAGCCAAGATCGACCAACTGAACTCAAAAGAGCGCACTCGAGAAGATGTAAGCGACTGGCGTGCGGTGACGTTATTGGCGGATGGAGAGCAGATCGCAATTTCCTCAGCCCCACCAGCGAATACCCCCAATGACTGGCACGTCTCCACTTGCCCACCTCCTCCTTAGATAACTACCTAGTAACGAAGGCATTTGACCCTAACACTGAATGGGAGGCTTCCTACCTCCTGAGACTCAAGAACCTATTCTAACTTACTGTGTATATTATATTCCCCAAGTCTGGTCATCCCATCAGCAACATGGCCAATAAAACATCCGTCCCCCCAAACGACCCCCAAAGCCCCCGCTGGCTCCTCGACCTCCAGCAGTGGAGAATCGTGCCCTACACCAATATTCCACAAAGAATTCTCGATGGTGAAGGCTACGGCGTCGTCTCCTATACCTGGGGCTACATTGTTGATGATGGCAAGCCCGCCTCCGATCCCCCCCAGGGTCTTTTATGGGACGTCCCCGCCGTCAAGGGCTGGACACTCGCCAAGGCACGACGGGTGATGGAGACGATCGGGACTCGGTATATTTGGTGGGATTGGATGTGTGTTCCTCAGAGTGGGGAGCAGATGCGACCCTGGGATAAGAAATTAGACTTGGGAAAGGTTCAGGGGGAGGAGATTGGGAAGCAGCTGTAGGTTAACTTTTCCCAGTCAAGTTGGGTTTCTATCCACCCACTTAGATGCCTCTCTTTCTTGCTGGTTCGTGATTTGCTAACTCAAACTAAGGCATATTTACGGCAAAGCCAAGAAAAGCATCGTCTGGCTTCACGCAACCTGTTGGGAGCGGGATTCGGCGATTAAGGACTTGCTTCAACTGCGCATACCGGACGACATACCCAGAGAGGAAGAAGATAACCAGACTCCAGCTGAACTGGCTAAACACACCAATAGCCTGATGAGTCTTCTGAAGCAGGCGCACGAGACAGAGCGCTGGACGTGCTCCGGTTGGACACTGCAGGAAGGCGTACTGTTGCACGAAACGGAGCTCGTCGATGGCTGCGGACAACGACTCCCCGACAAGCACTTCTGGCTCAGCGACCAGGCCACCGTTGCGGACCTTACTGTTCCAATTACTAGATTGGCGTGGGAGATTGCCATCGCCTATTTCATCAAGTCGCAGGGGTATGAGCCGGATGTCGGGTCGCCGATTCCTAAGCGCCCGCATGTTTTCGCAAGACTACCGGAGCCGTGGTTGCGGCGGTCTCTGCAGACACTCACAGCCTCAGGCTTCGTCGCCTACTGGCAAAATAGTCCCCTGGACATCTTAGCCGGGAAGCGCGGGCGCAAGTTCGGCAAGATCCAGGACTCTTGCTGGGCGCTTGTGGGCGCGTTGGGTATTGATAACATTGAGGTCACATATGCTGAGGACTTTGGCATGGACAAGGTGAAGCGGCGACTGCTGGTGGCGCTGTTTGACAAGTATACGTGGGGGATGTTGGCGCTGCCATTTCCCGAGTCAATCCAGGACGTATATACCGGCGTGGAACGAGACTTTAGATGGACAGACGTGGCAGATGGGGCTGTGCTGCCGGTGCATGCGTTCTGCGTGGAGAAAAAAACCGCCGCTCCCGATCCCAACCACCAGGAGCTGGAATCTCTTAAGCCCAGTTACACAGAGACACACAACGTTTGCATTCACAGTTGTAGCCTGACCAAAAGAATAACTCTGTTCCGCGCTTCGAAAGAGGGGATGGCCTGGTTCCGGCATTACCGTCAAGACAAGGATGGATTGAAGATTGTCTCGGCGGAGGATACGGCCTTCGTGGATGATAGTGTACTCGGGAAGGCGTGGTTTCTCCCCTTGCATCATGTGAAAATGAAAGCCGGGGCTTTGGGTAGACGATGTCTTGCGGTGCTGGGGTTGGGGGATAAGGGCTCGATTGGGGAACGGGCCGAGGCTGGATTTGGGGGTACAATAGATATTAGGAGTCTTGGGCCGGAGCAGGTAGAACTTGATGAACTTGTACTGACTTCAAGTATGCGGTGATTCGGGTCGTTTTCGCCTTGGTTGACTCTGAAATAATGCTGGGGAACATCTTCGCACTTTGTGTGTTAATCCTGATGCTATAACCTACCGTGACAGTATTTCCTTTTCTCACAGGAATGGGTCTTAGCGTTTGGAATTGTGGTACGGATTAGTCTTCATATATTTTAAAGCATCATGCCCCGAATATCACATACTCGACTCTTAGTACAATACATTCAGCCTCTACTCGTAGAACTTTAACAAAATCGTTCACGTAGGACATGGATCCAAGCTTACAGTTGAGATGTCGCAGCCGTAGGAGCACGAGGCGTTCGCAGTGCTTATGTGGTCCGGGTTGTATGGGCTCCAGAGCAGCCGTAAAGTCCATGCAATACCTGCCGTTTGTCATTTTGGGGCGTGTTGGTTTTGTTTTGTAAGACGACTTCTCCTTTGATGAGGGGCTCTCTGATGACGACTTCGAACCCGGATTGTGATTCGGTCAATGGCGTGGAGCCGGTTGCTGCTGTGGATCCTTCAAGCGGCCAACAGCCCATGTTAGCAAATGAGATCTCTTGTGGTGGCCGTGCTAGCCGGTCGGATATGTGGTGGAAGTCGAGGAATATAATGTTCATGTTTGTAAGGACTCGCTTGACTCGCTTGATGAGCGGTAGTTGCAGATTGCTGACGCGGGGACGATGTGACTGTGCTGGGCGGTGGGTTGCTGAGACCGCTCTGTTGAATATCACATACTGAAATTGTCTTTGAGCTCAGGCCAGATACATCTCGCTTCAAAAACTAACGGAAAGACCAGGAACGGATACGAATTGAACAGGACACGGTGCCACTAATCGCCGTAGCATTGAGTAATGGTGTAGCACGTATTCATCTCCCATGAACTCCAAGTTGGTATGTCATGTGACTAGACTGAAACTGAGAGAACAGGGTGTGTGTGCCATGGGAAGCAGATAGTACAGGACCATAATTGTATGGTGGCTTGGGCAGGATCCGGTCAAACTGGCTACAAGCTTCAAGCGACAGCGACCGATTGAGGAGAATGGTGGGAGTATTGTTTTGTGGATGGAAAGTCCGCTGACCGGGCCGGACCTCGGTCCTGACCTCGCTCACTCAGCCAAAGCTCCAACCAGTCCGAACTTCGGACGCAGTCAAAGATCTTGACCTCGTTCTACCCGTCATCTGCAATGATATCGGTCTTGACAGCTCCGACATCTCCCAGGAGAAAGCGCTACATAGCATGTGGCTCTCAGATGGTAAACATGCCTGGTACACTGGTCAACCCCCTTACTTAATTGCATTGCTCTGATGTAATTTGCGAGTGGTATTAGATTACCAGTGAGGGGTAATAGCAATTGACCACATGCTTATATTATCGTGCCTCGCTTAATGGCCACTAGTCGCTCCGTCAGCCTAATGAGGTATAGCGAGGGCTCCCGATGGGTCGAGTGAACTTCCCTGGCCGTCTAACCAAGAAAAAATGAAACTGCTAAGATCATCGAATGTCTTCAGAAGAGACTGGAGCGGTGTTCTATCAGGTCTTTGTTCAATTTCAGTTCCGTCATTCTCGCACGTGCACAGACCACATCTGCCATATATCATTCCAAGTCTATATCTATACACAAGCTCTGCCATGGTGAGGTTAACCGATGGCAGCAGGCATCACAAAGATACTCGCCCCCTTCGTCCGTAAATCTAACCTGAATTTAACCAGCCACTCGACTCGGTGGCAACTCAGTGCCATTCAAACATAACCCAAGTGGGCGGGTGCAGAAATCTAATCTAATCAGATGCAACGTATGATCAGATAATACTAGGTTTCCGCCCGCCATTCAGCTTGGCGCGGAGAGAGGACCAATCAGAACAGCGGGTCCCAATACCTAAGGCAGCATAGGGACTGGGTTAATTAGAATAGAAATAATTACATGATGTTATGTTTCATCAAGCAGTTATCTGTACCCCAATCCTGCAAACCTCTATCCGGAAGATGCCTGGTTCCGTTTCCAAGTGCGGGGTAATTTGACCCGGTGAAGGGGGACGCCCGTGTACTATTCTTCGCATTCCCGGTACCAAACTCGACTTCTTTTCTTCTTCCCATTTCATCACCCCCTAACAACCACCGATAATGGGAGACGAGACAACTCGCGTCGACGAGCTCGCCATCAATGGTGAGAAAAAGGTTAGCGGTATGACTGAGCCCGACCAAGCCGTGGCCGGAACCTTGGACAAGGGCTCCCTGCAGGATGATGATGAGCGAGCCATCAAAGGCGAACAGCGTTTCCATCGCCTGGGTTGGAAGCGTCTTACCATCGTGCTGATTGTCCAGTCTATTGCATTGGGTAGCTTGAGTCTGCCAGCTGCATTCGAAACGCTGGGCATGGTGGCTGGTGTCATCTTGACCCTTGGATTAGGGGTTATCGCCATCTACGCCAGCTATATCCTTGGCCTTGTGAAGCTCAAGTATCCGCATCTGCCGCATATCGTAGACTTTGGCCGCCTGCTTATGGGCAGCATTGGCGACAAGGTCCTGGCGGTTGCTTTTGTAGCCCTCTTGACTATGACCGTCGGCTCGCATTGTTTGACGGGCAAACTGGCCCTAGCGACTATCACGGGGAGCAACGTATGCGCCCTTGCCTTCAGCGTGGTGTCTGCTGTCATCCTCTTTGCCTTTGCTGTGCCTCCTACCTTTGCAGATATCTCTATCCTGGGGTACATCGACTTCGCCTCCATCATCGTGGCCATTGGGATCGTGATGGTCGCCACGGGAATTCAACAGTCCCACAACGCGACCGCTGCGTCAGCCGCATGGTCGGCTTGGCCAAAAAAAGACTTGACTCTCAGCGAGGCGTTTGTTGCCATCTCCAATATTGCTTTTGCCTACGCCTTTGCCGGGGCCCAGCCCACCTTTATGGACGAAATGCACACCCCGACCGACTTTACCAAGTCTATCACCCTGTTAGCCGGTACACAAATGACCATCTATACCATTACAGGGGCTGTGATCTACGCGTTTGTGGGACAAGGGGTTCAATCCCCGGCGCTTCTATCTGCCAGTCCTCTGATTGCTAAAATCGCCTTTGGTGTTGCCCTTCCTGTCATCTACATCTCGGGTGCCATCAACGCCACCATCGCCGCCCGTTTTATGCACGGCCGTATCTTTCGGAACTCCACCGTGCGGTACGTTAACACTCCCATGGGATGGGCGACCTGGCTCGCACTCGTGGCCTGCATTAATGTCGTTGGCTGGATTGTCGCCGAGGCCATCCCTTTCTTCTCCGAGCTCCTCTCGATTTGTGGCTGTCTGCTGGTCTCGGGATTTTCCTTTTACCTCCCTCCGTTGATGTGGTTCTTTTTGCTCAAGGAGGGGGCTTGGTTTGATCGGAGGAATCTTCGCGCCGCAGTCATCAATTTGATCGTATTTGTGGTTGGAGTCACCATACTTGGATGTGGAATGTATGCAAGTGTGACCGAGGTGGTGAGTTTACCCTGCTTTGGGAACGAGTGTCGGAACTCGAGACTAACTGGCCCGCACATTAGATTGCCCAGTTCCGGACGGGATCGATCAACCGTCCGTTTTCATGCAGTACCTAGTGCAGACGGAAATTTGGCCATAGAAGCCAACGGCCTCGCTTATAATTCCTTCATCCTCTGATCTCTCTGGTCCGAACCTCAACTGAGGTTTATGATAATGTTCGACAGGGGAGGGGAGGGGCTACCCACATACTCGGGAGATCGAAGTGACTGGTAGCCATCCTCCTTAAGCAAAGGTGGGGAATAGGCCGTCGATCGCTGCTATAAGCCGAAATTTCAGTACTAGGGAGACGATATATTTGTGGTAAAGTCGGACCAGCATCGATTGAGAAATCCTGTTGAGCTCTGCCCTAGCTGTATCTTTGACTCCGTCTTGGTTACTAAGTAAAGATAAAAGATATATGTTCCTCAAAAAGAGATTTGTATAGAGCGCATTGGAGAATTATAACAGGCGCCTTGAGGGCCTGTTATGTGACCAGCCAAGCGTGCCTGAGGCACCCATGGCCATACATATTTTCTAATCTAGTATATTATATAGCTGCTGGTTGAAATAAAATGATATCATTATTTTTATTTAACATTATATTTAATAGACAAATAGAAACCAGATAATCGCTTCTATGTGTAGAGAATAAGATTTTATACAGTTTATAATCTAACTGCCTGTTTTTTTTAGACTGTTTTGTTGTTCTTTTATATAGACTTTTATATGCTATTTGTCAAGGAGCGGGCTGGCGTCTGGTTCTTAGTCTGGCTGGATAGTAGGAATAACAGCTCTAGCTGAATGATTCTCTATAACTAGTTTTCTAGATTCTTTACTAGCTATTAGATTAGGCTATTCTTAGATTTATAGATAAGATATAGCTTAAAAAACTATAAATAATTAAAAAGTTTATAAATTATATATAAAATAGTCAGAAAAAACAGCCGGATTATTAAAATAAAGCAAATTAAATAGATTAAATAAATAAAATAAATAGTATAAATATATTAAATTTATATTATAATAATATTTTTTTTTTTAAACTAAGCTTTATTAAAATATAAATTATAGTTTATTAAAATAATAGTAATAGAAGTACTTAACTATTTAATAAATATTTTGAAAATATTAAACTAGTTTAATAGTTAGATCTAAATATCTGATTTATTTTATAATATATATTAGTTAGAAATAACTATATTTTTTATAATTCTATATAAAATTAAAAATATTTTTAATTTTTTGATTTTTTAATTTATTAATTTTTATATAAAATAATAAAGATTAATACTAGCCTAAAACTAATTTTTTATTAATAAATATAAATAAACTAATATTAAACATAGAATATATCTTTATATTAAAAAATGAAATTAATAAATAAATATATAAACTAATAATTTTGTTCATTTTATATAATTTTAGAATATTTTAATCAAGTTTTTTACTAAGTTTTAATATTTTAATATAATAAATATTTAATTATATTTTCTGATTTTGTTTAAATCTTTTTATTAATTTATATTATTAGTTTATTTATTTTATATATTAAATTTAAATAATAGATATCTCTATTTTAGGAAATTTAGTAATAGTTTATATTTTGATAATAAATTAGTTTATATTTCTAGCAGCCGGACTATTTAAAATAATA